AACACGTTTTCTTTTCGATGACATATCGGTAATATTAAAAGTAAATACTGTATTTAAATTGTGATCAAATTTTCAAGAAACAAACGTTCGTATTGAATTTGGACTAATACTGACCAACGCTAACAGACTACCTATTGTTTAAAAGGCCCTCTGGTGGCGCAAGAAGATGGATTTTATAAAATAAAAAGCAGTTGAAACTGCATTCTTATAAATAAAAATTTGACAAACTATTTGCATAAACCTTCGAAACGCGAGGCTCTTCAGACCGCAGGGCATAGACGGTGGCCCACGTTGCCCTTGCCTTACACCGCCCTTGGTCATAAAAATGATGTAATTTGAAAATAAATTATTTATAAATACGTATGTCAAGTTATATTTTTATTACAACGCAAAATATATTTAAGAGTTTACGACCACTGTGCTGGGTGAGACGTTGTTGAAACAAAAAAAGTTATGCATTACATCACGTACATAAGTTGTGTCGTAATTCTCCAAGTGCAAATCAGCAAATTCGTAAAATATTTGTTTATTTTGAACAATCCGGATAATCGAAAATCCGGATAATGGAGGTCCGGATAATGGAGGTTCGGATAATGGAGGTTCTACTGTATTTTGTTTCTGTTAAACACAGAAACATTTCAGCTTTTTAAACAATGTCTAAGTTTCCATGCGTCAACAATTAAGTGTTGAGATTTATTTTAGAAACAAAGGAAGAGATTGTTGATTTTGCGAGGATATTTGATTGTCTCTTGTTTACCTGACCCGAGGGAGATGGAAATACCAGGTGGAGAAAAATGTGTTTTTTCCACATTATAATTAACTGTATAATTAACTCCAGGATCTCACACTATTAATGCAATAAATTATTAACACTAATCAGCTGATTAATCGGTAATCGGTCATTTTGCTTATCGGTGCATCCTTAACAAATTCCTTGTTCTGCAGTTCTTGAAGGTCATCATTGGTAAGACTCTCACCAGAAACCTGCAGTAACTCCTCAATCTCCTGTTCATCTACATCTCCTAGTCCTGCTGTATTGATTATGTTGACCAAATTTTCAATCTAAAGATACGGCAATAGGCTCTTCTCATTGTCAATCCTTGGATATCTTCAGCCATAATTTCTTCTGTACTTCA